GGTTCCGGAAGACCTTTAAAAACGAATCGTAACACATGGTTTTGTGTGGAAGCATCTTGAAAAAGTGAAAGATTCAAATGGAATGAATTCATAATTTGCAAATTAAAAAAAAATGAAGTATTATTATTATAAAAAAAAAAATTTAGTCGACTAAATAAATTTTTGACCAACTAGTAGTCGACTAAGGATTTTTTGGACGACTCAAATGAAGTTTGTGTACTAAGTGTTAATGAGCAAACCCGTCATCAATAATCAATCAGATTGAACAACAAACAACAATGTATAACACAAGTGATATGAAATATCAAAGAAGACATAATATACAGAATCACGATTTTCCTCTACTCAAAAATGCAGTAATAGTTTTCGCGTTGAATTTCATGACCAAATTTGGTAATGATTTTCTTTAGATATAATATGTTCGTTAAACTTTTTATTGTAAAGAACTTTTATTATTATAAATAAATCGATATTGTAGAAAATATTCTATGAAAAATTTGTTACTTGGTATCAATTTCTTAAGAGTATAACAAAATTCAAAATGCTAAGGCTCTGCCAATTTTTAGTTTAAGAAAAAACTAACCGATAATTTTTGAAGCTTGAATCATGAACAATAAAACTTATCGGTTAACTTTTTTTAAAATGATGTAAAAATTTTTTGTTTTAGTATTTTGAAGCTGACCAGTTGTTACTATAAGCAATTAATTGGTTATAGGTGGTCTGCACCGTATAACAAGAAGTCTGAAGGTAGTTTGATTCAACTAATTATAGTCCAAAATCAAATAAAGCAGTTAACTATGGCATGATTTTTCCCCAAGACTATATATTAATATGCAGATGAATTGATGACAACAGTTTAAAATTAAACATGAAAACATTGAAACTTACAAGGAAACGCAAACAATGTTCTTTTTTGATAATTTGATAATACATCTGTTTTTTTAAAAGGTAACTTGATTTTTTATTAACACATTCTTTAACAATAATAGTTGCTTTTTTAACAGAATTTTTTATTTATTTGACAGGAAATTTTATTTAAAAAAAATAAAATGTATTCATGCTCCAGAAGCAAATGAACAAAAAGGTAGAGTAATTAAAGAACTAGTTTGTAATGATGTTAGAAACCATTTAAAGATCAAGAGTATTAATTATTTATTCATTAATCAACCAGTAAAGTCACATACAGCCAACGCGAAAACGGTTGACAATGACGAGGTTGATTTGGAAGAGTGGACAATAAATCATCAAAAACGAAGCAAAAAAATTTGAGAACTGAAAATAAATACTCAAAATGTACCGAATTATAATAAAACGAGGAGGAGAACTAGAGCAACAGAAAAACATTGTCTGTAAGAATAGAAACCATTTAAAGATAAAGATCATTAATTATTTTCACAAGAGCACATACTTTATCCTTTTAAACATTATTATGTAATAATTACGACAATTATTTGTAAATAAGAAATTATCGTCGTTGGTTGATTATTACTATGTACAAATTATAAATCGACTTATTTGTTTTTCATTGATATATCTTATATAAATAGAAATAAAATCCCTCTTTAACCTTTGTCACCTGTAGCAAATGTTTAATAGCCTGCTTTTTCAAATATCAATCTCTTTAAGAATTTTCCATTGCAATTGAAGACCACTAATGATCCACAAATGTCCAATAAAATATTCAACATTTTCACTTTTCCAATCACGCTGTCGATGATTTCAGAGAAACAACATTCATTGCCTGAAGATGGAATGATCGTTTTATAATATTTACCAAAATCGAAATCTATCAAAACCTATAAAATGCGCCTTCTTCTAACCTGGATTACAATCACAATCACAATCATATTTATATTTTTCAAATGATCCATCCAGAAAAAGAGTCTGCGAACAATGTTCCGTTCATTCAATTCAGAAGAATATTATTTTGAAGATGTTTAATGTCGCAAGTTAACTTTTTGAATTAAAATTCCCCTGATTGTCGATCATGTCAAATTATATCAGTATATTTGTCCTGCCGTATACAATGGGGAGATTTGGTAGACAAAAAATTTATTTATTGAAAAAATTATCTTTACTATGTAATGAACTTAGTCGTCTTTATGGATTGCGTTATATATGTTAAAATAAATGGGTCGGTACTAACGTTATATTTTTATTTATTGCCTCTATTCCAAATGATATATATTAATATGAACATATCATAAATTATATATATAATAACATTTATATATCAAATATGAATGTATCGTAAATCCTATATATGAATATATTTTAACGGGTGTCTAATTATTAAAAAAAAAAAATCGTAAATAAAAATATTAATTAATAGATATTTATAAGGCTATATGTATAACATAATATGTGACCACTCTCTATCTAAGGTTTCTTCATTCATTCATCCATTAATCATTCTTCAACAAATTCCTTAGAAATAAGAGTAAAGCACATAAGCTAAAAATTAAATTAGCATCTTAAGTTTTTTTTTTCAATAAATAAATAGCTTTCCTATAATAATAATCACATCATCACACCCGACATCCCATTAATACCACTAAGTCCAAGTCCATTAAGAGCACTAATACCATTCGCGCCATTACTGTAATTGTTGGAATTGTTTATTCCATTTAAGTTAGTTAGTTGATTTATATTTTGATTATTTTGATTATTATTAAAACTATCATTCAAAATCCTCAATGTGTTCATAACTTCAAAAGGATCAACTGTGCTGGTGTATTGTTGAATTGCTGGATCACTATTATTTAATTTTTTGAAAAATAAAAATAAGTCATCACGACATATGAATATTATTAATGAATTTAAGTCAACAACAAATAATAAAAACATAAAACATACGAGACTCGCAAATAGGGATTATACTGGAATTCTTCTTCAATTGTACTTGGAACAGTACAATGATTCATATGTGCCCATGTTATTTTTTTCTACAAGTTAATTGATAATTTCATTAATATATTTATAGATTTATAGAAAAATTTTTCAAAAATTAACTTACATTCAAATATTGATTATTAGGATCTACAGAACTTGCAAACTAAAAATTAAAGAATTTTGAATTTGAGATTTATCAATTCAATTCATATAAACATTAATATTAATATTATATTAATTTAATTTAATTACTTGGAGATTAAGCAAAGCAGATTCATGACCACAATAAACTTTAGTATCTTTAGGAAGTTTACCCAGAATATTGTAAAGAACATTATGCATATCTTTAGTCTCTCCTTCAGCAAATCTTCCACACCCACCTAAAATAATTTAAATAAAAAAACCAAATATTAAATTTTATTTTACAATCAAATAATCAATTATTTAATTAAATATTAATTAATTCATTCATAATTACCAACTAATAATGTATCACCAGTGAATACGGCCTTTTCCAACTCTTCATTCATTTCGTTACCATCACGTACATAATAACACACACTTCCTTTGGTATGAGAAGGTGTATGAAATGAACGAACTTTCAATGTGCCAACCTTTCCATTAATTAATAATAAAATTGTGAGATCACGTGACTAAAATCATCAAGACTAAACAATGCGTCGTAATTATCTAAATCGAGCTTCGTATAATAATAAAAACAAAATAATAATAGTAATACATACAGTGAATTCTTCATTATGCTTACAGACATAATTCAATTCTATAATATTTTATATTAATAGTTAACATTGAGAATAATAATAAAATAAACACATTTCTGACCGACGCGAAAATATTTTACCTGGTATACGTGCATCAGCGCCATAAACAGCAAGATTTGGTTTTGATGAAACCAATTCAATATTACCCATAGAATGACGTCTTAAAAGAAAAATAAATAAATTATATGTGCATGTATATATAAATATAGGTCTCTATATGATGAATGATAATTAAAAACAAAACATACTGATGATGATGAGTTGTTAATATTGAAGTTAACTTCGCGCCTGTTTGAGCAAGTACAGCCAGAACCTTCTGTGGATCAGCTGGATCAACTGCTGCAGCTATGTTTTATTCGGAAAATTATTATTACATGAAATTCCAAAATTCAAAATTGAACATTTAAAAAACAGACAATATAGATAGTAATAAAAACCTTCATTTGCTTTATTATCAACAATTAGGTAAGAATAATTATGTTCAAATATTTGTATTGGAATAATTCTCATTTTGTAAGATCTCTTTAAAAATTTTTTGAAGACAAGTTTTGATAAAAAGGAAATAAAAAAATTTTTTCTAATCAGGAGTTTTCGGGAAATTTTATCAAAATATTAATAAAAATTATAAAAAATAAAATAAATAATTGAAAAAAAAAGCGTGACTAAAAAACATTGAATTATCGAAAACTTGGCATTTGTTTTTTACGGAAACATTATCAAATTGTACATTTGTTTAAAAATGAAATAACTGTTATTATATATATAGGAATAAAAAAAATCGGGAGTTTTCTTTTAAGAATTCGAGAAATTTAAAACCTTTTTTTTATATTATTTAAAATTGATGAAGTTAAAACTAATATTTTGGGGTGGAGCACTTGATATGAAATTCTGATTGGCCAATTTGACATAAATATAATTGCACCCCAAAATTTTTTGGTGAGTCTAGTATAATCATAACGTTTTTTAGTGTGTCACTAAACTCTTGGCGTTTTCTTTGGAAGTGACTAATTTCTTGGCATATTTCCACTTTTGGGGAAATTAATCAAAAAAAAATATAAATTTTGCACATTTCGTTAATTCGTTCATAGCATGGTGGACATTCAATTTGTGTTACAAAGTAACATGTGCGCATTTTTAAATAAGTAATTTATTTGTTTATTGTGATACTTTTATTGGCTCAAATAATAAAATAATAATATAAATAAATAGTGAAAAATTAATTTTCGGAAGTATCCATTAAAGGTTCTGAAACAGGCTCTAATTTATTTTTTAAAAAATTTTTATTATAAATTTTATTTACCTTGTTGTAATTTAATTAAAGCAGTTCTAATATTTATATTGAGTATGACCAGTTGATTTAATTGATCTTGTTACAGATTGTGGTGCATGCTGTGGAGATGTTGAATTAGACCAAATGTTTTGAAAAAATTCAATAAGGAAAAGAGCTGTATGTTTTACCATAATATCAATATTTTTTTTAGTATATGGATATCTCTTAGTATTAACAAAAGGTTTCATAAAATCATTACTATGTCTTTGACTATCAATAGATATTGCATCATGCCTTAATCCTTCTGGGTTATGATTTTTACCCACAGTATGTCAACAAATTAGGCTATGAAAATTTTCCACAAAATATTCATTAAATTCTTGTAAATTTTCAGATAAAATATTATACATAGGATGTTCAATGCTTTATCAATAAAGAACATCAGAGATAAAAGCTATCATTATTTTATCATCCCAAATCATTTCATAATAGTCCAAAGTCAAAAAATTGACCTTCACAAAATAAAATTGCATAAATATCCAATGTTGCTGGTACAATATTATCTAAAAATGTGTGATATTCAAGATTTTTTTGGATGCCAAATTTATTAATAACTGTATCTCTAATAATCATCAATCCTGATCATGAGATGTACAATAAATAATTTACCAACCATGGAGGTGGTGTAAGTGATAAATTTTTTGTTTTCTTAAATATCTTCTTATATAATAAATTGAAAAATGGGTGATATAATTTTATTGTTGATTCTCTAAATTATAAAGAACTGTAGTAAGTCTTTTAATTTGAGAATTAAAATATTTAGAAAATTCAATGATATCTACAAATAAAAATAAAAATAATTAATAATTTATCTCAAATTGCAATTCTAAATATCTTTAACCATCATTAATGATATGATATGAATTAACTTATTTTATAAATCCAAAAGAAATTATAGAAAAAAAAAATAATTACCAACTAAATTATTTGTACCAACAGGCCTTGTTATATTCTCCAATTCAGTTGATAATATTGTTGGAGTTTGTTTTAAATGAATTATCATCAGGTTTTTTAATATGAGAATCATAATTAATACATCTATTATAACATATATTACAAATTAAATCATCAACACTTAAATTATATATCCCCCAGTTTCTGCTTTATTTTTACTTGATTCTGTAATTTTTCTATACTTTGAGTCTACTTTAATTTCATTGCAAATTGCATATCTGGTGCATAATACCATATTGGAAATGTTAGTACTAAGTAAAGTATGTCAAAATCGCGGATGCCGGCGGATGCAGCTGGAATTAAGTTACAAAAACGTTAAAGAATATCTCAGTAAAGTTACAGTACGTGTTACATATCAACGTGTCGCCACTTTAATTGAGCAAAAAGTTTTTTTACTTTAAAATTACGTTACACGACATAAAAAATGGTGCAACATTTTAATATTTATTATTAATTATACTAGTGCCACAAAGGATAGATCTAGAAATCAAGCCAACCAACCAATAATAATTCCGTAAACCACAAAAAACAAAAATTATTCAAAATGAACAATAATAAATATATGGATATTTTTTCACCAGTTAAATCTACTCGTAGGAAAAATGTTTATATGGAAGATGTTGAAGCAAACAACTCTTCAGAAACTACACCATCCAGGATGCTTACGAGTATAAGTAATCTAGGTTCTTTTAATAGTAGTAGTAATAATGCCACTACTTCTATTAAGGATGTTAGTATTATCAACAACAGCAGCAACAGCAATAAAACTGCTGCATCTAGCTTTAATACCAGCATAGACTTTAACATTGACACTAATCTAGACATTAATAACTACATTAAAAGAAATTCAATAGTAAACGATGATAATGTTAATAATAATATTAATAATAATAGTAATGGTAATGTATCGGACACAAAATCAAATTTTCAATATAAAGTTCTTGAAAATGTTGTCAGCGAATGTTTGGATGACTTTAAAACCACATTGCATAGAGATATTATGGATATGCATGTAGAATTAATAAGACAATTTCATATTCAACAGGTTTTTGTTCTTTATTATATTAAATTATTTTTTTTTCTCAAATTTTAAATTTTCTAAAATTTTATTCTTTTCTATATCATTCACACACGCGTGTGCGTGTATTTGTACAGAGCAGCATTGAAGAGATGTTTAAAAGTTATTGTGGTGATGTGGAAGCATTGAGAGAAGAAGTTAAACAATTAAGTGAAGAAAACAATAAATTAAAAATGAAAATATCTAATGATAAATTTTATCTTTGATATTTTTAAATTCTTTGAAAATTATTAATTTTAATCTCTTCTCTTGACAATTCCTTGTAAATAATATATATATATATTATAATATATAATTTTTGTATTGCATATATTTATCAGCTCCCATAATGTAATTTTACATCGTATCTCTAAAAGCATTTATAAATATATCCTTATTGACTGACTTGACCGGTTTCAATATATATATATATATGTTTAGTAGATCGTCAATTTATTATATATAATAAATAAATACTCCCAAAAAAAAATTTTAATAATAATAATAAATAATTTCTAAAATGCGCAATATTTCTTGTTTAATTTGTCACGTACAGTACAACAACTCTCATTCTAATAATAATTATACATCATTGACGCCTTTTTTAACAAGCTGTTGTAATCGCTGGATATGTGAAAGTTGTTTAAAAAGAAATCCAAATCTTTTAAATTATTGTGTTTTCTGTCGAAAAGTTGAAAGAATTTTGAGCGGAAATCGCAATCAAGATCAAGTTGAAGTAGCAGCAAACAACGACATTAACACATTATTAAACGATGTTTCTTCTCTCCCACCACCGCCTCCGTACACATACTTACCTGGTCAAAAAAGTATTTCGCAACTACCAAAATATGAAGATGTTACAAAGAAAACTTTAATTAATAATAATAATGATAATGCAATTATTCATTTTGTGAAAAAGGAAGATACTTTGGTTGGGTTGTCTTTTAAATATGGTGTTGAGGTATTATTTTTTATTATTATGATAATAACAACGATGGTGTTAAAAAATCGCAGATATATATAATAAAGACATATATATTTCTTTTAATTTGATTAGATTAAAGACATTAGGAAAGCAAATTTATTTTTTGATGATAATATTTTTGCTCATAAATTTCTAAAGATTCCAAAATATATTGGGCCGTCCTTATCAGAAAAACCTTCGGTGGAAGATGGTATGTAATGACGATAATAATTGATATTTTATATTGTTACAAAAATATTCATTTTTTTTAATTGTATATTTTTAAATGTAGAATTAAAAACATTGATTAAAAGATTTCAACTCAAGTCTAAATGTGTTGATTATGACGAGGCAAAATATTATATGGAACAATCTGATTATGATATTGAATCAGCTATAAAATTGTATAGAGATGATATTTTGTGGGAAATGCAACATCCAATACCTTCCAACAAGATCAACAAAAAGAAAATTTTAAATAAGAATGATAAAAATACAAATAATAACAAATTAAAAATTCAATAGTATTATAATTAATAATAAATTAATAACAATAATGTCTTATTAATTTGAATAAATAATTCAATGCAATATATACCAAGAAAAACCCCAATTTTTTATAATTTTGATTATTTGCATGGTTCAGGAATCGGAATTTTTGGATCTATAGGAGGATGAATAACACGTCCTACTTTATAATAAGTATGATGATTACGATAAAAATCTGCCCAATTGTCTAATTCCTATAAATAAGAATAATGGGAAGTTATTATTTGCAAATAATAAATAACTAATAATTAAATAATAAAGATCAATATTTGATAGCTTGCTTACTTTGATTTGTTTACTAGTTAATCCACGCAAGTCGTGTGTTAAATGTGTTTCAAAACAACCAGTAATATAAGCACGAGCCGCATCTTTTCCAGAAAAAAACTTATATCCGCCATCCTAAAATATATTATAACAATTGGGAAAATTTTTTAATTTTCTGTAATTGTCTTCTATCAAAATCAAAAAAAATTATATTTACCTTTCCATAATACATTTTGCCAGCAGTCACGTCAAAAACTTCTCCACTAGTAAATAATTAATCAGGAATATATTGTTCAATTCATAAATAATAATAATAATATAATAATAATAATAATATAATAATAATAATAATAATAATAATAAATCAAAATTTAATTTTTTATTTTACTTTATTGCGATATAGATTGGTAAATTTGGGTCTGAACCATCATATTTTGCCAATTCTTCTTCCGTTAATATTAAGTCTCTACGCTAAATGTATGAAAACAAAAAAAAGGCACTTTGTAAAAAAAAAAAGTATATTGTATATTTGTATATTTTATATTATATAAATTTATGTAATACCGGAATGTAATTTCTCCAATTTGTATATTGATTTTGATATCCCCAAGTCCAAGTTTCGGTTATGAAATAAGAAGCCAGAAAAAACATTATTATCGAAATAAAAAAACCTTGCATTACAAATATAGCGATAGATTTTTGGGAAGACTCTTTGCTTTTTTTATTACCATTGCTATGTATTTCATGATTTTTATTGGAATTAATCGAAGAATACGAAGAAGGGTTGTTTGATGACTTTCTTACTAATGGTTTTGATGACATTTTTTTTGAAGAAAAAAATAATAAAGTTAGAAAAAAAGAATATATAATAATAATAAAATAGAATTGTGTTACGAATTTATTCTAAAATTAGGTTAATTTAAAACAATCATTACGCATAATTGACTAAATGAAAATGGTAAGGGTCACATCAGCGGCTGTTCTTCCTTTATGAAACCCGTTAATTTATGCAAGCAATAAAATAAATCTCAAAAAAGATAAAATCTGTTGTTATCTTCGCATTCGTGTATTGATTAAGACTGGTATTGTAATACACTTGCCGTACGCCTTATTAGTGTCATAACTCTCAAGTGTTCATATGTTTGCACTCACCCTTAGTTACAAACATCCTTTTATATTTGTAACAGAAAGTGTCACAATCGAATGATGACAAGTGGATAAGGACCCAGAGGTTTCAACGCGTTCCTCCACATCCTGTATGCCTTCTTTTTCGGGCAGCACAAATTTTTGATCCAAAATTTATTTCACTTGATCCTTCAACATAGAGCCATTGTCAAAGAATTAGAAACTATCCAGATGAATTATTGAATGAATGGCCGTTTACTGTGGACAATACAATTGTTGAGATAGATTTAAATGAATATTCAAGATCTCTTTCTAAAATTGTTCTGGATATACATGATTGCTGAGGTATAGAAAAAAGGTTCTCGATTTATAACAAGATTTTGTTTATTGAATCTTTTCCTCAATAACCGAATAATATGAATATTTCTCGGAAACGTTGGTATAATTCAAGATTTTATATTAATATTAATATATAGTAATAGCGGGTTATTCCACCGCAGAAAATCATTGTTACACGTATAGGATTAAAAACTGATGTTCCACGAAAGTTTTATAAAATTTTTTTCGAAAAATGGGGAAAAAGCCGTTCATCGATCGTAAAACCGCAAAACATTACCATTTAGTACATAGATCTCAAAGAGATCCTTTAATCAATGATTCCGATGTTTCCTCTAGAGTTTTGGTTGAAGTGATCCCGCCTAATTTAAAGGTGAATAAAGATAAAAGAGGAAAATTTTTTCAATATATCGGTTTTACATGAACAGTTATGAGAATTTTTTTCTTTATAGGGAAAAGTCTTCAACACCGATAATAATAATAACAACCAACAAAAACAAATTGAAATTGAAAGGTAATGAATAAATCAAACATAAATGTAAAATTTAATTTATCTAATTTTATCTAAATCCGATGTTTTCAAAAAAAAAGTCGTGCTGGTCAAGCTGCATTATACGGGATATATTATGATGATACCAAATATGATTATTTACAACATTTGAAAGCAATCGGTGAAAATTCTGATGGAATTGAATCAATATTCATTGAGGCATCATCTAAAGATAAAAAAAATGTAAAAAAAGGTGGAAATATTGAATTAGTTGAAAATCAAGATGAGGAAGAAACAAAAAATAAAGATACAATATTGGAAGAAAAGGTGTGATTATAGCTATTATATAATCTAAACAAAAAAGCAGATTAATGAAGATTTTTTAAAAATGACATTCCAAAAGAATCAATGATTTAAGCATTAAATAATTACCAATTGTTCCTTAGAATTATCTTTTATGAGATATATATAATATATATACTGATTATGTTTCCAATTGAAATATTTATTTATTTAGGATCCAAAAATTCCAAAAAAAGATCGTAAAGTTACTATAATTTTACCTGATGAGGTATTGCCATCAAAGTATGAAATGCCTATTGGATTATTAAATCAAACAGCAATTCCTCATGGTAACTAGGATATTTTGAAGTTTGAATTTCAAAAAAAACAAAAATGTTTTATTTAATGATTTTCTTTGTAAATTTTTTTAAAAAGATATTCAAGGATTTCAACCAGACATGGACCCAAATCTTCGGGAAGTTTTGGAAGCTCTTGAAGATGATGCATTTGTAGATAATGAGTTAAATGACGAGTTTTTTCAAAAGCTTGATGAAGAAAAGTTATTTGATTTTCAGGAATTTGACATCGATGGGGATGATGAGGAGGATGGTTTCGAAAGTGAAAATGAAAAAGAAGGTTGGGAATTGGAGTTTAAGAAGTTTAAAAATAATAAAAATAAATCAAACAAAAACATTAATGATGATGATGATGATGATGATGACGACGATGATGATGATGATAGGAAATCAAGAACGACGGGAGGATATTCAATGACAAGTTCGATAATGTATAGGAATGATAAACTTAGGTTATTGGATGAACAATTTGAGAAAGTGAGAAATGATTTATTACTTTAGGTTACTAGCAGTTTAAACTAATTATTATAATCACGATTATATAATGATTGTATGTAATCTATTACAATAGATTGAAAAGGATTATATGTCAGAAGAAACTTCTGATTCAGAAACATCAATCAAGTCATCACAAGTTCGTAATGATTTTTCAGAGATTTTAGATGAATTTCTTGATAAATACGAAATCAAAGGTAGAAAGATGTTGACGAAACCTGATGGTGAAACAAGCACAAAACAGTTAGAACTAATAAGACAAGAATTAAGTTGTGATAAAAAAAATAATGATGTTGACGATGACGATGATGATGACGACGACGACGACGACGACGACGACGATGATGGAATAAATAAAAAAAATAATATTCAAAGAAAAAAAGATTTATATGTTAAAGTGCAGAGTGAGGGAAAACACAAGGATAGACAAATTTGGGATTGTCAATCGATTTTAAGTAAATAAAGCAAATTCATTGTTAATATAGTGTTGATAATTGATTAAAATTTTGTAAAGCTGATATGTTTTATATGTTTTATATATAAATAGGTACATATTCAAATCTTGAAAATCATCCAATCCTGATACGCGAGCAGAAACATCATAAACGAATAGATATTGATCGTAAAACAGGACTACCAATAATATCTGATTCTAATACAAAGAACAAAAGAAATGATGATATTGAGACAAATAATGAAAAAGAAAATAAAGAAAATAAAGATGAATTAAATTTTGACGACGACGACAACGAAGAAGATGATGGAGAAGAAGATGATGATAAGCTAATAAAACGTAATTAATTGAATATTTATTTTTTATTATTATTATTTTTTAATAAACTAATTGTTTTTTGGTTAATATTTAATTGGAAAAGTAAATCTTGGCTTGGCAAGGCCTAAAGGTGAATCGAAAGAAGAAAAAAAATCACGTAAAGAAATGTTAAAGGGTCAAAGAAAGGTAATAAATATTATTAAATAAACATTAATTTTTTTTATATACATTATACTTATATGTGTGCATGTGTGTTATGAACAGATTCGTAGAATAGAAAAAAAATCATTAAAAAAGGCATTTGCCAAGGAACTTACAAAGCAAACAAAAATATCACAAAATTTAAAAAAGAATTTTGTTGGTGCAATTCATATGGATTAATAATGATATAATGATAATAATGATAATGGAAAATGGTAGTAATATTTATAATGATTCTTTTCTTTATTTGTATGTTTGTATATATATTTTCTAATTAATAAAATTAATAAGAAAAAAATATATAATATAAATAATTATGTATATGTACAACAAAATCTTATTGATTAATAAATAAATAAATAGAAATAAAACTACAAATAAAAAATTTAATTATTTATTACGTAATGGATCTAAATCACTAAACACATTATCAAAAGACATGCTCTTTGAGTAATTAAATTGTTTTTGCTGCAATAAATTCATATCTGTATTTGATATAGAAGTATTAGTGATAGTAGACGAAGGGAAGAATGAATATTTTTGTTGTGCTTGATATAAGTTACCAAAATTATTATTAAATTGATTTATCGATGTTGTTTTATTAACGTTTGAAGAACCATTTGGAAATGTGTTGCTGTAAGAATTTAAATTCGTTGAATGGATTGTTTGCTGTGAATTATTATTATCAGGAGCAGTTTGGAAATCACTGAAAATATCATTATCATCTAATTTTTGAGGTGAGAATCTTCGTGATGTTTCAGATTTAGTTGGTGGCAAAAGATTACTGAAAGGATCATTTATGCTACTATTGTTAATTGAACGTTTTGAATGTAAATTTGATGCTGTAATGGTATTTGGATGATTAATTATTAATAAAAATTGTATATAAGAAATTATTATTATATTGTAATTAAGAAACCGACTTTGTAAAGATTTGAAATTAAAAAAAAATTTACTTTTCGAATTAATATTATCATTTAAAGTTAACTCCTTGAATGCTATATACGGATCATCAAGAATAGGTGATGAAAGTGAAGAAGCTGGTTTAGGTTTGAGAATACCTTTAAATTGACAATAGTAATAATAATAATCATTATTATCATCATTATAGTATATCTACCTTATTTTAATATAATAATGTTCTTTTATACTTACTATCACTTGCAATTGAAGTCAAAGAACTATGTCTGACATGTCCAAAAGGATCCTGTTTACCAATGTTCACGAACATATATATATATAAGAGAGAATTATTTAAATAAATATAAAAACCAGATTCAAAAAAAATAATAAATAATAAATTATTACATTATTTTGATTATAATTAACAGAAGAAAGATTCAAATCATTATTGTTAAAAAGAGAAGACCCAGTTGAAAAAATATCTGTATTTGCATTTGAATTTGGATTAGAACTTAAATTTGAATTATTAAAAATGCTTTGAGTAGGGCATGTCGCAGAACGACGACGATTCTCCAAGAGATTTTTTTGGGTGAAAAAAGAATTGGTGATAGTATTAGTATTATTGGTGTATGATGGTGATGATTTATTAGGTTCTGGATATATATTGTTTCTTTTTGTAACAGGTTGTTGATTTGAAGAATTATTCAAAGTATCGAAAAAATCATCAAGTTCATCTTTAACGTTATTATGGTTATTATTATGGTTATCATAAAGTCCAGATAATAAAGAATTTACATTATTATTTGAATTTGGTTTTGGTAACGTTGGTATATTATTATTATTAGTTGTTGTTGTTGTTGTTGACGGTGGCGGTGGCGGTGGTAAACTTGAGTCGTTAAAAGATGAATCAGAGGAATATTTTAAATAGTTTGTATTATTATCTGACAAGTCACTGATGGATGAAGATGATTTTCTGCTTGTGGGTGAAACAGGTGAATAATCATTTAAACTAGAATTTTGACTTGAAGAATCATCACTTAAATTACCACTACTATTATTAAATTTATTATTCAATGCTGGAGGGTTAATGGTAAAAGTTCCTTTACTCTATTAATTAATCAAATTATTTTTGTTATTATTGTAAAGGAATCCTATTTTGAGACAAATATCCCAGAATGATTATGATCAATTATATTTTTTACCTCATAATATTCACTGTTTGATGGTTTCTTATTTTTTGCTTTCAAAAGTGATTCATCCAACCATTTTTTTTCTTCATATTTCATTGACATAAAATTACGAATTGATTCTATATCATCATTATCGGATTCAGGAAAATCCATCCATTTAAATTTCGCCAGCCAAATTTCTGCAGCTTTCTTAATTAGTAAATCATACATAGAAATTAATTAATTACATTTATACTGATTTATTATCTAATTTATTTGCTCAAGAAAAAATTTTTTATATATTCTTACAGCATTGCCGCCATTTTTTAAAGATTCAAGTTCGGCTGGAGTAAATATTGATGCGGTTATCGATTTGACACGATGATTAAATTCACGACTACAGAAATGTAGTTGTAAATTATGGATGAAAAATAAATGGATTAATTAATTCACACGACAACACATTTGGATGAAATTCAATAATAACATGTGAATGTTACTGCTAATTACTATCACTATACACATACTGTAAACCCGAGCATTTAGAACAAATAAAAGTATCATTAAAAAGATTGACATATGCAGGTCCCTATTATCATTATATTAAAAAAAATAATTAGTTGAGAAGTTTTGCTCCCATGAATTTGAAAAAAGCTTTGATTTTTACCTTGGAAGGACAATCAAAACATTTTTTATTTTCGGGCTTTTTTAAAAGTTCGCGAATAATTCTAAATTAAAAAATTGTAAATACTAAAAATGTAAAATTGGATTTAAAAAATATAAAAGTTTAGCAACATATTTACTTTGGTTGTCGTTCCTCTTGTTTTTTTGACATTTTTTGTTCAAGTACACAATTTATAAATAGAGAAAGAGAGAAAAGCAAAAATTTTTTGTAATTGTTTGAAAAGTGATCAACGATTTTTATATGGCTTATAAATTTATAGAAACGCCACAAATATCAAAACCTAATATTAAATTGGAAATAATTCAATTTTGAATGACATCATTCAAAAGATGGAGGATTAAAAAAAATAATCGTAATTGAAAATAATGAACATTGTCATTCCAAATAAATGATTTTTCCCAAGGGTGCATACTGCAACAAAGTGAACATAGTGACATGGAATATGGTGTTTTCACAAGCACAAAAGGTAAGTTGAACACCAAATGACTCAACAAGCATCAAAAGTGTAATTACTTCTTCAGGCTTGTAATTCTGTATCCATGTTAAAATAGAATGTGGATCTTTCCAATTAACATTAACTGACCAAGGAACACATAAAAAGGGTAAAGATTATAGAAATGAAAATATTTGTCATTGACAATTTTGAATATGCTCACAAATAATATATAACATATAGAAAAGTAAAAAGTGCAATAAAGTGCTCTTTTGGAACAAGAATCTTTGGAACCTTGCCTTCTTGGAAGTATAAATACACAGTATATATAATTGAAGAAAAAAAGCAGAAGTTAGTCAACGTTGTAAACAATATACCAACTGATCACTCAAATAAATAATGGATAAATAAACGAGTGAAATAATTTATGTGTGCATTTTTTATGGAATTTGTTCACTACCTGTCTCTTTACTCGTTTCATATAGACTCTCTCCCCGTCCATCCCAACACTTCCTCCCCCACTTCTTCAACTTTTCTTCTTTTTTTTTAATCTGTCTTTCTCCTTTCCCCACACCTCTCCATACAAAGGATCAATAAATAGATTTCATCAGCCAGGTAATGATAATATTAAGAAATGAATTTAAAGGAACTGATCTTGAAAATGCTACAGAGTTGGAAATAAACCCTTGATATTTTTGTGGAATTTCAACCTGATATTCTTTTCTGTGTAGTGTAAGGATTCATCCAAAGTGTTGTCAAGTCTCTACTTGATTCCTTTTTTTTTTGTGCAAATGCTTCCAATTGTATACAATTACAAGTTGTAAAGCTTCTTTCTAAAAAAAATAAAATGAACAAATCTGATATTGATCATAAGCAGGGTTGACATTGGACAACACCCTAGAGATGTATTGCGAGTTAATGTTCTTGATGACGGTGATGGTTGAGGAATTTTATTGGGATGGTTGATCCTACACTTAATATTACGGTTAGGTGGTACAGGTGCAGGATAGCATCCATGTTTAACACCAACCATGAAGATTTAATAAAATTGTTCTTTTACAAACACGCAATTGCATCATTCATGGCTTTAGAACTTTATCCATATGTGAAGATATTCGAACAAGTTGGAGGGCTTCAGACAAACGAATAATGTAATTAAAGTCACGCATTCTCCCTGAAAATTTAACGCATCATTGTATACCCTCGCCTTGTACACAAGGAAGATGATGAATAATGTTTTAAAAAATATTTGAGTAAATTTCCAATAATCAAACGGATCATTTTGGGTGTTTCGAAATCGTCCAAGAGCAGTTTTTCATACGTGTGCAAGAGTGAGGGCGAGTGTGTGTGTGTGTGCGAGCGAGAGGAATATCTTCGATATTTATGTTGTTTTGACACTTTTTAATGTTGATAATGATTACGCAAACAAATATACCAATCGCTAGTTTATTATCATGACAAGGAACCTTATATTGCTAATATAATAAAAGAATATTAATATATTAAATTTACTCCGCGTTTATATATTAGTATATAATAGTTTAAAAATAGGGTATTAACACAAAAAAAAGTATCTCTGGCCATTAGAAACGACATGTCTTCTTTAAAATTGTACTTTAGTTTATTAATGAATGCCCAGTTCTTTTCATCTCGCAATGAGATTTTTTTTAAAAAAAAATGGTTGTTTCTTTTGTACAACATTACGTTGATGATCTTCTTTGATAATATTATATATACCTTCAAAACACTAAATATATATGTTTTGCTGAATATTGGAAGCATTATTTTGTATATTGAGGTGAAAAAGAAAAAATTACGTGACTTAAAAAAAGATTTTTTTGTGTTCCGCGCTATTCTAGAAATAAATAAAAAAACGGAATTCGAAGAAGTTTTCGAGTAAGTATCATCGTAACTGTTATTTCGTTTAGTTCAAGCTCTAGCTAGCAATTATACTAAAATGACTTTTATTTGTATTATCAAAAAAAGAGTAAGTATTTTTAGAAGAGTTGAATAATATTTTTGAGAGATTTTCTAGTTTTTCTAACTAAAAATTTTTTTTTAAAAAAAAAAAGTCATCGCAAAATAAACAAAGAAATAGTATGAGTAAGTATTATTATAACTGTTATTGATTGTTATTTCGTTTAATTTGAGTCCTAGTTGGTAAATCAAATCTGACACAAAATTTTAAAATGTTTAACACAAATCAACAACCTTCTTAATTCAAAGAAAACCAATCCTCATCAAAGCAATCCTTGTATCTATTTTACAAAAAGATATTTTAAGTTTAAAAGAAATTCACTTCTGGGGTATCGCTCAATGGATGGAAAAATCGAAAATGTAGATCGAGAAAAAGTATATAATATATTACAAAGATGATTTACAATACTTAAGGAATATATATTCAATTTCTAAATAACTCTTGTGGAAAATATCGTGCCATTTAAAATGTTATTTCCTAATGCTTTGTGGAAAAATACTTTTGGATTATTATTTTCAAATTTACTGTAATCAAGAATAACGATTGACTCAACAACAAAAAAAGAATATTTTAATTAGTAATTACTATTAGTCATTCATAGACATTCTATTTTATTTTATATCCATAATATACTTTATTAAAAGATGTAAAATATATAAGTTAAACTTTTACATCGTAGTAGTAAAGGTGGTTTTAAATGAAACTGTATTTCATACAAAATTCAAAAAAAATTAGTCAGTAGCTACAATCCATCAAATTAGAACAACTGAAAGCATAACTCAGTTATGTGTTTAATAATGATAACATCTTTGCAAGTTTAGGGCAGTTAGTTCATTTTACATTTTTTACATTTTATCAAAAAAATTTTATTATCCCCAGATTATAACAAATAACCATGGTGCAAAATTTATGAATCAAATATAAAGAATTTCATGTTCATCCATCTATCTTGGATTCACATTGTTTGCATTTTAAAATTACTTTGACTAATCTAACAATGCAAAATATATATTATTATATCCTTCTTGAGAAAAAAAGCAAAGGTTAAAAATATATAATTATATATTTGATACAATGGAGTCATTCATTCTACAAGTATGCGATCAGGTTTTTATTGAAATTTGCGCAGATGATGATGATTCTAATCAAATTTAATATTGCGAAATCGTAATAATTAATATTAACGTCACTTGTTCGAAAGCAATTTCCAATATATCGCTTCCTAGGAATCCTCTAACAAAGTTCAAAAGAAAAAAAATTAGTGTATACAGTGTGTCTCGAAAAATGGCACAAATACAAATAAAATTAGATTCATTTAAAGCCCATCAACTCTATATTAAATAAAAAAAATAAACATGAAATATTATTGTCAGTTTTTTTTTTTGTAAAGCTGATCCACATCTTTTTTTTAAATTTCATTAAATTTTTGTATTTAAAATTTTAACGTGGATTTTTTTAATAATGGTTCTAACACAAAAAACATACATAATAATCATACGTTTAAGTTCTGAAAATTATATATATAAAATTACTTGATTACTGTATTTTCTATAACTTTATCAATTAAAAATAAAAGAAATTTGATATTTTTGAAAAAAATATTTTAATGCGATCATTGCTCTAAAGCCTATATAATAATATGTTTCAAAATTTTTACACATAATAATCCAAGATCTTATGATTCTCTGGTTTAGATACTTTTTATTAAAAGCAACATTGCCATTTTTTTGTGACATACTGTATAAGGACTAATTCTCATATATCACGTAATTGGTTATATACAATTAATTATGAGGAAATAAATTCTAAAACCATTTATAATGTTTTGAAGTTATAATTCATGACAAGGAGTTTTTTTAGTATTTTTAAAATAATAGTTGATTTTCTTCGATTAATAATCTCTTAGCATTAAATTATGTTTCTTATAGAATGTCAAAGAATATCCTTGATTAATAATTTATTCCATAATAGTAATAAATGAAATTTGACTTTGACAGCCACACCCAATCGTTAAACTGGAATCTTCCAGGATTTATAAACAAACATAGTCAGCTGTTGATTTCTAACTTATTATATTCCCCTTCCATTTATTAAAAAGTAATAGATTCGATCTCATTGGTCGCGCGCATCTTTAACAATTTCTATTACTATATCAATAATATCTAAGCTAACAAGAGTGGATGCACATGACAATAGCTATGTAATGTGCATTTTGTTTGGAAATTATATCATGGGACAGGTCACAAAAATTGATTTATTATTGTTACATTGTATATTAACAAAATACTTGAAATTCAACAACTAAAGATACAAATAAACCAGGTCATTCATTAACAATCCAATTCATAATAATAATGGCAAAGGTTAATTCGAAATATACGTTCTGAATAACTTTTAAAAGTCAAAGATTATCAATAATTAAATATATAAAAGCTTTTAGTCTTTACATATGTGATCGGAATTAGGTAAACTCTCATCATATATATATATATGTGTGTGTATAGTATGTGTTTATTATGATAGAATAATAGAATAATGCTAAAATATAAATATACAACAACGATAGATATCCCATTAGTATTAGTGGATGATTTATAATTATTTGTATTACTAAATATATAATAATAATAAATAATAAGGAGGTCGGTTCATCCATATTGAGTGGATCGTATACGGCGATAAATTCACTAATACCAATTAAAATAAATCATGTGATTTATGGTGGAAAAGGGGTAATGAATATTTATTTCTTTAAATACTGCTAATATGCCCTTATAAAACTTTAAATATTTCTCTCTAAAAAAAAAAATATTATGAGCCAAAATCAAAATTTAATCATTCCGGTGGATACTCAAATTGATTCGGCATTGGAGGAGAATGAACCACAAGTTACACCAACTGAAACCACTTCATTACTTGAAAATGCCGAGCCTTTCCGACGATATAGTCATTTCCCCTCGAATGATAGTAATAAGTTGGTTTTTGCTATAATATATCCTTAATCAATGTTTTATTAATTAATAATTAACAAATTTTTTAAATAGTGGTAATCAGCACCCAAAAAGACCTTTTGTCAATAGAAGACACACCTGGAACCCTTCACAAATTCGTAAACTTACAGCTCCTATAACACATTATAAAAGGCGAAGCGGCTTTTATGATGAAGATAAGCATGAGTTAGTTCGTGAAGGTGGCGGAATTCGTGTCTGGTATGATGATTACACAACTATTGGTAAGTACTTCCCGATTTGAATAATTTTTTATATTAGATCATACTATAACACGTGACACATGACATCAGATTGGATCCATGATTATATTAAGGAACGCGTCCGAGTTCGTAAATTGTACTCTCGTAAAGGATTTTCAGGATGGGTTATAAAATCTTGGGATGGTTTACAAGGATGGATTTTGGTATTTCTTATTGGTAATTATTACCTATTTTCTTTTTTGATATCATCTTCCTCCCAAATTTAATTAACTATTATTTTTAATTTGATTTGCATCAAGGTGTTGTTGTTGCATGCGTTGCTGGCATAGTTGATGTAACTGCTGAATGGGGTTCAGATTTAAAGGATGGATATTGTTCAAATGGTATTACATTGAAAAAACAATTTTGCTGTGAAAATCAAAAACCTGGTATGAAGAATTTTTCAAAATGTTTATAGTAGTAATGTACAAGAAATTTTTTAATTTTTATACACATATGCACATATATTTATCTTACTCAGAATCATGTGCTGAATGGGTTGAATGGTCCAGTGCATTTAAAATGGAAGATCCTGAAAAAAGTGCTTGGTTTAATTATTTTGCCTATGTGTTTATTGCTGTAAGCTTTTTTAGAACATCATTATATTACTTTTAAAAAATTTATTAATATAGATAATAATTGTTTATTTTATAAAGTTTTGGTTTGCAGTTGGATCAGCCATACTTGTGAAACACAATTCACTTTATGCATCACCTTCTTCAAAACGTTCAATAAGATCAAACAATGATTCACAAAAAAGTAGACAACCTAAACCATATGCTTCTGGTAGTGGTATACCTGAGGTTAAAACGATTTTAAGTGGCTTTGTTATTCGTGGATTCCTTGGTATAAGAACACTTTGGGTTAAAGCCATTGCATTGGTTTGTATATTATTATTATTATTATTATTATTATTATCAAGTAAACTTGTCACAGTAATTTAAAGATATTTTATCTTATTTTATTTATTTTATTAATTGAATCCATTAGGCAATGGCAGTATCATCTGGAATGACTCTTGGAAAAGAAGGCCCATTTGTTCATATAGCATGTTGTATTGGCAATGTGATAAGTAGATTATTCCATAAATATAATAAAAATGAAGGGAAAAGAAGAGAAATATTATCTGCATCAGCTGCAGCTGGTGTAAGTGTAGCATTTGCTGCACCAATTGGTGGTGTATTGTTTTCTTTGGAAGAAGTTAGTTATTATTTTCCAAGTAAAACTTTGTGTAGAAGTTTCTTTTGTGCAATTGTAGCAGCCGTTTCTCTAAAGGTTTGTAAATGAATACTTTTTTAAAATTTTTATTTTTTTATTAAATAAAAAATTTTTGTTTTTAATTATTCATTAGTTTATAGATCCATTCGGCACTGGTAAAATTGTAATGTTTCAAGCAAAATATAATAAAGACTGGCACTTTTTTGAAATTGGATCATTTCTAATCCTTGGTATATTAGGTGTATGTAGTAAAGAAACCAATTTTCACATTATGGGATATAAAAATAATCAGTCAATTATTTTCTATTATTTAGGGATTATTTGGAGCACTATTATGTAAATGCATTGTTTTATACACCAAATATATTAGAAATGGCACCAGGCTTAAACAATGGCCAATAATAGAAGTAGCAATGGTTGTTATTCTCACTTCATCTCTTAATTATTTAAATCCTTTTACAAAGTAAACTGTGTATTTTTATTTTATTTTTTTTAAAATTATTCCAGTATTTTATTTCTGACACATAACTTTACTTTTAAAAATAGAATATCAAATACTGATTTGGTGGCAAATTTATTTAGTGAATGTTCAGATGAAAAAGATTCATTAGGTCTTTGTGTGTAAGTTTAATATACATATATGTATATGTTCATAATAATAATAATAATACTTTTATTAATATTAAATTTCATATAATTGAATAGATATTCGGCCAAAGATGTATATCCAATATTTCATTTACTTGCAGTGGCCTTAATGTCCAAATTTTTAACATGTATAATAACTTTTGGTATAAGAACCCCAGCTGGTATATTTATACCTGCATTATTAATTGGTGCATGTTTTGGTAGAATGCTGGGATTGGTTGTACAATGGCTTACCTTGTAAGTTAAATAATAATTAATAATAATGATTTTTTTTTAAAAAAAAAAAAGAATTATTTATATATTCTTCTTTAATTTAATTTAGTCAGTATCCAGACTCTCCAGTGTTTGAACAATGTAATCCAAGAGCACCAAATGATTGTGTGATACCTGGTGTATATGCAATGGTAGGAGCTGCTGCTTCTTTAGCTGGTGTGACTAGAATGACAGTTTCTTTAACAGTAATTATGTTTGAATTAACAGGTGCATTAACATATGTATTAGTAAGTGTTGACAATGGTATATAATATTTGGATTTATTAATTTACTAATTTATTAATAATAAAAAATTCCATAACTAGCCAATCATGACTTCAATAATGATATCTAAATGGGTAGCAGATGGATTTGTTCATCATGGAATTTATAATTTGTTGATTGACTTGAATGAACATCCTTTTTTGGATGCAAATGCTGAATATATTCAAGCAACAAATACATTTGATTTGATACAAAAAGATTTAGAAATTATTGATGTTAATGATTTGAATACTGTGGGTGAATTAAAAGCAAAATTAAAAAATTTATGTAAGTATTTTAATAAATATTCTGTAATATTATTATTGTTAGCTAATTAATTATATTTTACAATAGCAATTTCAGGTTATTCAGACACTGGATTTCCAATAATAGATAATAATATGTTAGTAGGATATATAGCATCAACAGAATTGGAACATGCATTAAATGATTTATCGCCAAAATATGATGCCACAACAAGATGTTATTTCAAAGAACCTGAATTTAATGTTATTCAAAATCCTGATAAATTTGTAGATTTTACTGTTTATATGGATCAAGTAACTTTTATTTTTTTTTTTTAAAAAAAAAAATCTTTAAAAATTTAAATTTTTTATTTCATTAATTAATCATTTAAAAATCTATATATATATTTATAGGCTCCATTAACTGTATCAAAAAATTCATCATTAGAAGTTATATTAGAATTATTTAAAAAATTGGGATTAAGATATGTTTGTGTGACTGAAAATGGTCAATATGTTGGTGTTATACACAAAAAGTGGTTACTAAGATATTTAAAGGAGATGGAAGGAAAAAAAGAAGATTTAGGTTGATTTAATTTATTTTGATTTCCAGAACAATAAATGGGCATGTCCATTTATCATAGACGCTTGCTCTCTCAATAAATGAGGAATATTCAGGACATTTTCCATGGTAGATTTTATTATTTGTTATTTTCTTATATGTCCTATACACCATTCAAGCAGCAACAAATTTGTTAAGTAAATAAAGTAATTAATATTATGAAACTTTCACAACAAAGTCAACCTTTCTTTGCCACGAGTGACACTTTATGAGTAGACTTGAAAGTATTAATCCATCAATCAAATCTTCCTTCAAAATATTTATTTCATCTCAATATCAAGATTACAATCAATGTGCACTTTTGCGAAGATTCAATTACAAGTCCCAAGACAGTTAAAATGTTATTTCTATTTAACACACATTTCTTTTTATATAAAGGTTCAATAATAAAGAACTTTTGAGAAACTGAAAAATTCCATTTAGATATTTTAATTAAGTCTAACGTATTAAATTTAGGTGTTCAACTTGACTGAAAAATCTTTACCTCACACCTATGTTAAATAACGGTTGTCACATGGGATGCAAAATTTTCTTCGGATTCAAAAAGAATCTGATCGATCAAAAAAATCTAATATACGGCGGCTAACTAAAACTTTGCAATGTTTTGTTCGGCCATGTTTGAAGGTAAAGAAGTTGTGAAAAAAATATTTGTCAGCGTATTCTCTCTCACTCTCGCGATAGTTAGTTGCCCAAAATTATATTGCAAAACCATTCCCGCGAACAACTATAATTTTAACAAAAACCAAATAATTTATATGTTTTCGTTATTATTATTTTTTGTTACATCATACCACCTCACTTGACGCGCATGCTGGTCTTGGTCAGATGTTGTACATACTCTCCTTTCTACCATGATACAGTTTCCGCCAAACTAGCTCCATTAATTGATCTATTTTTTATAGAAGATGATTTCACCTTTAATATTGATATGGAAGAGATTTATAAATTCGGGAAACATGGATGAACTCATACACTTCTTATTGTATTTAATTTCACAAGACAATAAAAAGACATGAAGCCAAGAATTGGATTGTCATGATAAAAAAAGCAAGCTTTTGGTTTGCGTGAATTTAGCAAGCGAATATAAAATTGCATTTACATACATATATATATAAATATAAGTCTAAAAAGCCATCATATAGAGATTGAAGCAAGATTAGAAAATAACCCCATCCAGAAAAGACCTTTTTTGGGCGAGTGATTTTATTTTTATAATCACGTTAGATTCACTTTGATACTTAAAAGGCGCAGAATGAGTTAATCAATTGACCTTTACTATTTATTTTACAACAGCAAATATTACTGATAATAAATAACAATAGTAATAGTGAAAATTGAATTTTTGTCAGAGCGCCCAAAGAATAGGTAATACTTACAAATGACTTTGGATCCGAGTGTTTTTCCTCCATACAAAGTACTCTGACAATTCTTTAACTAATATTTTTATAAATTATTTATGTATTTTTCTATTATTTTTAATTAAAATAAACATATTGTGACTCAAAAAATGTTTATTTAACTGCTGATGATAATTAGTGAATTTTCCATTCCATTGAGGCCAGAGAAATATGATAAGCTTACTACTATCGGAAAATGTCCCGCGTTAGAGTTTTCATGAATTTTTGGATGATAAAACGAATTTCTACATGCTTCCGATCTCTGAAGTTATACTACTAATGGCCCAGCCAGTACTATGGTTAGGGACAACATGGGAATACTAGGTGTTGTAGCTTTTTTCTTGTTTCTTGGGAAGTGAGTCAATACAAATTTTTCGATAATCAAAAAGAAAAATTTACAATTTAATAGTATACTAACTGTATTGTAAAATTTTATTTTTTGCAAAAAAAATATTTAATTTTTGAAGGTTGTCATTAAGCATGTATAATAAAGAAATAGAATTATCAAGTTCATTTATAATAACATCGCCAATGATATGCTTCATATGATTTATTGGTGTTATTAAATATTCTAAGTATTGGTGGTAAATATTTAAGTTCAAATGAATCATAATCTAATATTTTGTTACATATTTTACATGGTGTTGAATTCAAATTGTTATAACTTAGAATCCAATCCTAATATTTATAATAATAATAATAATAATAATAATAATAAAATATTAGAGTCAATTAATTTATAAAAGAATTAATAATAGCATATATTAATAAAGAATATTTACTAATAGTTCTTGTATTGGATTATTAATGTCTAATTCATTTAATTTATTTAATGCAATTTGAGTTATACGTTGAAATTCTGAAAAATCTGAAGATTCTTTATACAATTTCTATTTAACATATAAAGGTAGTAATTAGTAAAAATAATATTAGTAAATAGTGATAATTTAAACCATACCTTTTCATGATATTCAAGGACATTGATTCTTACAAATGAAATAATAGCAGAATATTCATTAATATAATCGCATTTTACTATTATATAAGATTTAATTATGTTATTTACTGAAAACTATATAATATATATAAAAGATCATTAGTAATATTATTATAAAAATCTTATTCAAATAAAAAAACTAATTACTATTAATCCAATCAAATTATTAAACGAATCAAATTTAATCTTTTGAATTTCAATTGGAAATTCATATTTCTTTCTTGAATTTGTTAACCAATCATCAAGTAAACCATCTAAATTACTAAAAAACAATCATAACAATAATCAATTAATATTCCTTTTCTAATAATAATTAATAATCAAATCCTTTTTACCTTATAATAAAATTATTACTATTAATTAATGTTTTAATTGACTTATTAAAATATTTCTCATATCCATTATAAAAAACACTTTTTATACATACAACATTAGATATTATTAGTATTAATATCAACATCAAAAAAAAAAAAAAAACTATCAATTGATGTTTAACTCACTTCACAGCCTCTTGACTAGATTTTTTCATTTTCTCACCATAATCAATTGATTTTGTCTCATTTAAATTTAATTGTGAAAATTCTTTATCTGGAATTTGAATACTGCCTTTCCATTTATTTGCAATTTCTTTTGAACGATTCAAATCATCTAGCAATAATAATAATGATTTATGAATTAACTTAATATTATATACCATATAATAGATAATAATATATCATATAATAAGCTTACTTGAAGAACTTTCTAATAATATACTAAAATCTTTCAATGAACTAACACAACTATTATTTAATCTATTAAATTTATTCAAATCTACATCTAAAAATAGATATGTTATTAAGTGTTAATCCATAATTATATACATCACATATCAATATCATTATTACTTTTATTTTTATTATCTTCAGATTTCAAAATATGCTCTAAATATTCATGAATATTAGTAAATGAAGATTTGACCTGATCAAGCTGTTTGATAAATAACAACAATATTATTATTATAATAATAATTAGACAAAGATATTATTAAATAGTTGATGATAATTAATTACCAATTCTAACATATTGTCAACTTTTTTAATACTATTTGATAAATTCATCAATTTATTATCATTACTATTGTTAGTATCCATATTTTTGTAATATTGTTAAAAAAAATTTATTTGATCAGCATCCATATTATACGCCACAGAATATTTCTGTGGTACGGTAATAAATGCCACAATCGTTTATTTTTCTATGACTGTAAATTTATTTTTATACCCTTTTTGCCAAGTGTTTGCCAAATAAATAAATACATTGTCAAAAATGAAAATCAACTTTGAGACATAGAAAAAGAAAAAAATATTTGACTACGGCTTAGAATCTGTCTAATCTATACTTTTCGCTTGATTATCTTACATGGAGAATATTAAAGTATTGTGAGATCGAGTCTGGGTCTCGAAGATGATAATTTATTATTTAATACCAATAATGTTTATACAATTTCTTCCAATTTATTTATATTAAATCGTAACAACAATTTCCGCGAATGCTTTACTCTCAAAACTATCTTTCACTATCGTTAAACAATTCATTGCTAAGCAATACTAAACAATGCCTTCTTTAGTTTTCACACTATATCCTGATCACGTTTCTTGGCGGGTGCCCTTCTCAGCTGTTACTCCTTACTCAAGTCAAGTACGTTTCCTAAAACTACTAAATAAAATTCATTAAATATTACCTCATTAAAAGAAAAGAAAAGAAAAGAAATAAAAAATAATAAAAAATAGAGACAAATGTAAAATATAAAATTTGAAGACTACAACAAGGACAAGGACAGTTTGTTATTATTAAACGATTGTTATGATGATTAATTGACAATATATGAAGTTAAGAAAATTACAACATGTTAAAGGTTCTATCATCTAGTTCTTTGAAATTCTAATTAAATACATTATTTGAACTTTCCATGTAGAATTATCTTCAAGTTATGAATAAGTAATTTAAATTCCTTCGTTTAAATTTAATTTGAGAATTAAAGGTCTGTTACACTTTAGAATGTGAGAATATTTATTTCTCCATTGTTTGATGTATTTTCCGTGAGTCAATTATTTTATTATTGTTGTGGTTTGTTTATTACAGTGATTAAGTAACAATTGGACCGGTTTGATCCTTGATCAGCTTCTCCGATTTTCTTTTTCATGTAACTTTCAATTTATTTATTGATCCATAAAATTATTTTACAGTATTAATACTGAAAAGATGCTAGTACGTTTCAATTCCGCGTATAAAGTACGGAATAGGCACGTAACTTGTAACCTACCGAAAGGTATAATATAAAGAATACATTTATTTTTATTCATTATAAAACATATAGTATTTTATTAAAAATCTATATCATCATCAATAATGTAATTAATCTCGGCTTTTCTATTATCATCTAAACACATCAAATGCTGCGCCAACTGGAGAAATTTTTCTATGAAAATCATTCCTTTTATGGAACTAATTTTTTAACAATTTTTTGTTAAAATGCTTAAACAGAATAAAAGAAATCAACATTTACAAAAAGCTCGTGAAACTAAAAAAATGAAAGA